TCAGGTAACCCCTAGAGCCCATCGACTCCATACTGCCTGCTTACGGGTGCAAAACACAGAGCCAGGGAGCTTCCAGAGTGGAAAGAAATTTCAAACATCCCTCCCTGCTGCTCTGGAGCAAAAGAAGAGGACAGGATGTGACTGCTGGGTGGAATCCTCCTGGGCAGGGGTTCTGAAAGTGTCACAGACATCCCCTTTCCCCACCACCTTCCCTGCAAGCTCCAGTCCCTGTGCTTGGATGACTGGAGCTGTTGGGGAATGAGAATGGAGGTTGGGCAGGACAAAGGATAGGGAGTGAGTGCAGTTTTCATTTAAGGCAGACATCAAAAAATCATTTTGGAAGAGCCACTGAAAGTACAAAGAGATTGCATTTTAATACCCCTGTCATGCCCCTCCCTCTCCAGCCCCTGCCCCACCCATCAGAATAGCTTTGCCATTTTCTGGCAAGACAATAATCTGCATTGTATTGGACCCTCTAAGAGATCAAGAATCTGGGAAAGAATACTAAGGGAGGAGGAGAAAAGCTCCCATATGTGGGAGCCCTGGAAGAGGCAAGCCTGAGTCCTCAGCAGAAATTCTGGCCAGAGGAGGTGACAGCTGTGTATGAGGGCGTGTGGGCACATGCATGTGCGTGCATGTATAGGTAATGCCAGCTGGGGAGCAGGCTACAGGACAAATGAAGCACCCGAGCCCCTATCTCTGGGTGTAGACTTCTCTAGAGGGTTCCCTAGCCCCTGGGCAATTCCAGACCTGTCCTGAAGTCTCTGGGGGCAAAGATCACAAAACCAGACCACCAGTCCCTGACATCCTGCCACTTCCAGCCACTGAGGTCCTGGGCCAGTCTCTGACCCTGTGTTGACCTCAGTTTCCCCATCTGTACAGTGAAGGGCTTGAACCAATGATCTCTAAGGGCCATGCCTGCTCTGACAGTCTGGGGTGCTAAGCCTCTACAGGAGAGTACAACATATCACTCAGGCTCCCACCTCAGAAGGGAGTCCCCAGTCCCCAACTGGCTGGCTGAGGCTGGAGCTGGGGCAGGGTGGAATCCCCACCCCGTCTGTCCTCAACAGCCTGCCATGGCTAAAACCTTCAAGTGGTTACAATTACAGCTGAGCTAACAGGATTAGGGGAGCATTGAAATCTAAGAAAATCTAATTAGCTCAGACACCCCGGCCTCCCCCAGCACAATTCTGCAGCAACCTCGGCAGCTGGGTCTGACAGGCGGGACCTGGGGCCCTCCTGGGTCACAGTCATTACCTGTACAGGTGTGCCAGGCTGGGCCAGGTTTCCTGGGGAGGTGCCAGTTCAGCCTGCCTAGTTGCTCCCTGCTCTGGACCCCCACCAGCTGCAGCCTTGTCCTGGGGGGGGCCCTCAGATGAGCCTCAGAAAAATCAGGCACAGGAATGTGGGCAGCGGGCAGGCTATGTTAAGTGGCAGAAGGGACCCAAGGGCCCCCACTGGGTGGCCACTCCACAGGGCCTGGGGACTGACTCAGACAGAGGAGGGGCAGGCTGAGTCAATGTCCGTATCTATAGAAACCACGACAGCCCAGGGAAGAGCCTTAGGCCGCACAGGGACTGGGGTCCTGTCTCTGCTTCCTGTTCCATGGCCAGGGGTTGGGGTGAAGCCCCATGTACAGACACGTGTGCCCTGGCATTCGTGGCAGCACTTGGGGCTCAGAGCAAGCTCTGGCTGTCAGATACTGTGCCAGTTAAAAGAAAGGGTCACAGTTGCTGGGAGTATGTGCTGTGCGCTGTCAGGTGTTGGGGGCAGAGACAGGTAAGGCCTATCTGTGGACCTTCCTGGGTACAGTGCCCCCTCTTTGACCTTGGTCCCCTACTCCCCATTCCCTAGGTCCACACAAACTTCTGCGCCCATGTCACTTCCTAGCTGGTGGTCTAGGAAGGCAGAGGCACAGAATATTGGCATCTACAAGGCCTGGAGTTTAGTTGTGCCTTGGTCACAATTCATTTCACCTCTCTGAACCTTGGTTTTCTTCTCTGTTAAATGGGGGTAATGCCAGGTAGCTAGTTTCCACTATTGTTATTGAAGCTGAACAAAGTTGGAGAGTGCTTCTAAATCCACCAAGTGCCGTACAAAGGCGAGGGGCTGTGCTTATTACTGTCATCAAGCACCTTGTGGCAGGCAGCCAGCTGGTATGGTTAATTATTTATTTGGATTGATCTTCCTGCCCTTGCTGGCCTGCAAGCTCCTAAGGAACAGGAACTGTCTTACTCATTTCTGAGTCTCTCACAGGCCATGGTCCTCACACTGTAGACTCTCAGGAAGTATCTTTGGCATCAATGCTGGGCCCCTGACCTGACCCTACCCCTCATTATGTATCTCCTTCCTTCTCATACAAGACCCAAGGAGATAAAGTGCCAAGAGGCAACCTGGCACAAAGACAGATGACAGTATCCTTCAGGCCAACCCTTCCCATTCCCCCAGGTCACTCCCAGTAAGGGCTGGAAGCGGCCATTTGAAGCTGTCTCTCTACCCCACATCAGTGTGCTTGACCAGGACGCTGGTCTTGGATCTGTGATCATTCAGTAAAGAATAAGTGTACGGTCTGGAGGACCCCCAGTGCCTCCAGCCCAGAGTGAGGGTCAGGAGGGATTGATTTTCAGAAGGCATGCCATGCAGCTGAGCATGCTAACAGTCAGAGCGGTCCACTGAAGGCAGAAATCTCCCAGAGGTGGTGAATGCCCTGTCATGGGGGGAATGCAACCAAAGTCTGGACAATAAGCTGCCAGGGAGGGAGGCATAGATGGAAGAGCAGCTTCTGGAAAATGCTTCTAGCACCTCCAATCCAACCCACTGTGCTCCATCCATCCTGCATCCAGGGCCAGCCAAGCCTTTGGGAGATACATGCTCAGGGCTCTCATGCCCACATATGCCTCATACTCATGGCAACCAAGTGGGATCAGAGGGATTCTGCCTTTGGATCCATTTTACAGATTAGGAGACTGAGGCCCAGCAGTGTGAAGCTACTAGCCCAAAATAGCCAGTTAGCTATAGTTATAGCCTCCTGACTCCTCTCCCCCATCCCCTCAGGTAATGGGAAGACCCACCTAATCACAGTGAGTTTCTGACCTTTTCCCAGAGCCTCTGCCTGGGACTAGTTTTCTCAGTGTCTCTTCATCCTCCCTGAGGACAGGGCCTAACCTCAAAATCACCCCTGGAGCTTATACCCAGGCAGGCTCTGCCTCCTCCCTTCCTCAGCGCTTCTAGGGACAAAGAGTTCCTCCTCAGAGGGTGTAGACAGAGGCCACTGTGTCCTGCTGAGAGGTCAGAGCAGTCACCAGGCAAGGCTGCAGCGGGGTCCAGGGTAATTACTGCAGCCCAGCCTTTGTTGTCCACACAAAACCTAAGGAACCTCATAAAGATGAGGCCATGATAGGAGCCGGGCAATGGCCCTCGGGAGAAAGTTATGAATGAAAACATATGGGACCCAGTCACGACCTAGCAAGCCCTTCTTCCTGGTTCCGTGACAGAGTGCCCAGAGAAGCTTCCAGAAATTAACTTGTTGGTGCCCAAATTTCTTCAGCAACATCTCACCCTGAGGCTGGCGTCACAGTCGCCTGTTGGATTCTGGCCAAGGCCAGAGAACTTGGTGTCTGTGGCTTCACACATGGGTACTCTGGTGGCAGAACTCTCAGGACACAGCAGGAGTTGTGTCTTCCTTCCTCATCTTCACCCCCTCCTCCCTGCCCGCCCCTCTGTCAATCAGGAAACAAGTGAAGTCTGCAGCTCTTCTCAGCTGTATCCTTCCCTCAGCAATTTTCCAGAAAGAGTGGACAGTGGACACCTGTCCTGTGTCTTGGGGGTAGGGATGGCGATGATGTTGTGCTACTGTCACCAGGACAATGTGTCTGTGTGAGAAACCAGGATTCCAGAGTCCAACTCCAAGTCTCTGGATCTTGCTTCACCTTGCTCCTGGCTGTGAAGGGAACAAGGATCCTCCTCCCCTTTTCTCAAGAGGAAAAAGGGACATTTTGTTGCTACAAAGAAGCCAGCAATCCTTTTTTGCAAAGACAGAGCTAGTTATCAAAGTTTCCCATACGTCCAACGATTTTATTCCCCACTCTTCTCTGCAAGCTATATTCTGAATGCCTCAAAACCTCAAATCCAAAAACCATTCAAAACTCTTGAAAACTCCCTACTGTTCCCTTCCCCTCCCCCGCTCCCTAGTCATTGCCACCAACTCTCAAAAGTCTAAAGTTTTGAGATTTACATGTGAAAACAGCATTTCATAACCTTGTGACTTGGGACAAGGGACAAGGAGATGCTTCTGTCCTTTTGGGAAAAACAAAACCCAACCAAAATCATAAAACTCAGAAGAAAAACACCATCTCCCTCCAAAAGCATTCCCTTGGCCCTGAAGTCACACGTGCTCTGTGGCAGAAAGGGCTTTCAATGTGTCTTTTGTTTGGTGCTGGTGTTTCAACATCCTCAACCTGAAGAGAAAAAGGTCAGCACAAGGCTTGGGGCGCTCACACGGCCAGGCAGCAGGCAAGCAAGGGGCCAGGAATTCCTCCCACTCTAGGCCCCCTCAAAAAGCAGTCGGGACAGAGAAAGTTAGGGGCTTGCTCCACCATCTAAACTTCCTGATAGCTTACAAACAACTTTTACACTCCAGGACCATACAAATGGCAGCGAAGGCAAGTAAGAATTCATCACCAACCAAGCTGCCCATTCTCTAACCACAGCCCCTGCCTCTTTATCTCTACCTTCAAAAAAAACAGTAATAAGCAAACGTAGGCACCTCTGGGAACAGCTTCTGGCCTCCTGCCCTGCCCTGTGTAACCAGCCTGTCCTCACACCCACGGGGGAGGAGGAGACAGCACTGGTTAACCCTCTGGTCTACCAGGCCCTGTTCCGATGTTGCAGCAGAGACGCACACTGTTGCTCAAGAAAACCCTCCAGAAAACCCTTGGCACCAGCAGGCAGCTCCCTGGGGAACCTGCCCAGCACCATGCCAGGGGCTTCCATGGGCAGCTGCCCTTTGAGGTCTGTGGGTTTGGGCCCTACTATTCCAAACCCTGACCTGTCCACCCAGGGGCTCCAAGTGGGGCAGAGCAGGGAAGAGGAAAAGGCTGCCTGAGCAGTGCCCTCACCCTGCCAGCCCAGCCGCCAGCTTCTTGGAGGACCTCTGAGAGAACATTTGTTTGGGCTGCCAAGTTAAATCTTCCTCCCTCATGTCAAGGCATTGGAAAAGCAGTCAGGGGAAAGAAGGGGGAGAAGGGGGAAGGAGCAGTGGGAGGGAAGGAGGCGAGCAGGAGGGCAGATTCTCAGAGCCCCAGTTACTCCGCACTGCCAGCCAGGAAGCTTGAGGCTCCCAGGCTGGCGCAGCCGGAACTCCGGACACCCAAGCAGGGGCCGGACCCCCAGGCCTCCAGGGTCATGAGCCGGGTGCCAGGCGCCCTTGGACATCGCCTCGGGAGAGGTCCTCGCTCGGAGTCCCGCTGGAGGGGCGAGGTAGGAAGGGAAGGCAGAGGAGGAAAAAGTTTGTAGCTGGTAGAGGGATAGGGCTAGGTGGCCTACAGTCGGGCTGTCCCCGGGGAGGGGTGGGGGGCCCGCCGCTTGCCCTGGCGCGCTCCCGCCCTCCCGCTCTCCCGCCCGGGTTGTTTACATTCCTGGAGTGTCTTTTAAACCCGGGACTGAGGCCGGCTCCCGGCCTTCTCCGGTGGCTCCCGGGCAGTCTCCCGTGAAAATCTGCTGGCGCACAATAGCCGGGAAGGCAGCCGCCCCTCGCCCATGCCCCCGCTGCTCCGGGGCGGGGAGCCTGCCCTATGCACCGCGCCCTCTCCCAGCCCGGCTGGCTTCCTGGACAGATGTCCCGGCGAGGGGGCGATGTGCGCCCGCTGCCCGCGCCCCAGACGCCGAGGCCGCGCTCCCCACTGGTTTTCTTCCCAATCCAGACGCCAGGATGTGAAACAAGCTTCCAGAGCCCGCCAGCCCCCGCCCCCGCCCCCGCCCCAGACCCAGCTCAGCCCCGGCCGGGCCCCCCAACCTCCGCCCCGGCCGGCCTCCCACTCCCCCGAGGCCACCGCCGCCGGCGACCAAGAGGAAGAAAGAACACGGGGAAATTAGTTTCGTATTTGCAACGCGCGCGCGCGCACACACGCACATCTTCCCTCTGGGCTAACCTCTCCTGGCCAGGGCAGCCCCGTGCAGGCGTTGGCCTCAGCGCCCCTCGGGCTTCTGAAGACCTACAGGAAGCCCCTACACACACCCCTTGGCGTTCCCGGCCGTACAGTGTACCGCGTCTCCCGGGCAATTCACACACAAACAACTTAACCGCGCCCCCACCTCCCATTTACAAAAGTGTATTTTCCCTAGAAATTCAGATACACAACTTACCACCACCAACCTTTGCCACCCCGAAATCCGATGCGGTCCCTGGCGGTTCTCGTATACACTGGCGCACAACTTCGCGTCTCCTCAAAGGAGGCGAGAGAGACCGAGGTGGTGCTACCCAGGTCCTTCCCTCCCGCCCTCCGCGAATCGCGGTCCTGCACGGCCCCTGGCTGTACAGAACGAGGGCCGGAGGCGCACCGGCAGGAGGCGGGTACCAGGTCCGCGCACGCACAACCGCACTCATACCCCGCACAGCCGACAAGCCCCGGGCCCCGCGCGCCGCCCAAGCTGGCTCGACGCAGCCCGGCTTTCGCCGGTCGCCTGGGCCTCGGCCGCCGGCCGCCAACGGGAGCTCAGCGGAGCCCGGCCGCCAGCCACTTGCCCGGCTCTCCTGTCCCCGACGGACCCTTAAAGAAAAAAGCCCCAGAACTCAGCGTCCCGCGCCCGCACCCCAAGAGTCCACAGGGGGCGGGAGGAAGGCCCGGGGCCGGAGGGCGCCCGGGTCTGGCTCCAAACTTACCGGGCGCTGCGAGCGCCGCTGCCGCCGCTGGAGGACGCGCAGCCACAGCCGCCGCAGCCGCTGCCGGGCAGGGCCGGCTCCGACCGGGAGGAGCGCTGTGAGGGCGCCGAGATTGGCTCCGCTTAGCTCCTGCTCCGCGCGGACCGGGGCTGGGGTCACCGCGCTGCGCCGGCGCTGCTCGCTTGCTCTGTCTCCCGATCGCTGTTCGCCCGGCCGCTTGTTCTCCCGGGCGCCCGCCGCCGCTCGCTTTTTTTATGTCCACAGACAGTGAAAAGGAACTCGGCGTTAGGGGGTGAGTAAGTGAATCAACTCGCCCGGAGCCGAGCAAGTTGAAGTGTCAGATTACATTGGCTATTCTATTTCCAAAGGGCCCCGCGCCGCCGGCCGCCCGCAAAAGCCGGAGCGGAGTGTTGGATGGAGAGGAGTGCAGCGCTGCGCCGCCGCAGCCAGCGCTCGGCTCCGGAGGCTCTGCTCTGGTTCTCTGCCCTCTCTCCGCTTCCTATCGCTTTCCTTTTCGCCTTTCTCTCCCTCGCTTTTCCTTTCCCTTATTTTGCCCTCTTTCTTCCCCTCTCCTCTGTCTCGGCCTTCTCGTTTTTTCCCTCTATGGCTCTGATGGGCTTTGCGCGGCAACCCCCCCCCCCATCCTGCCATTCACCTCTTTTCCCTCCCCCTTTACCACCGTTCTCTGACCGCCCCGACCCCAGCAAGTTTAGGAGAAAAATGCTGAGCTTAGGAAGGAACCACAGTGGGGAGGGTCTAAAATTGCCTGGCTCACCAGAGTCCTCCCTTTCGCCGGCTCTCCCCGGCTGGAGTGCACTTGGGGCTGAGAACCCGCTCAAGTACTCGAATTGGGGGTGAGCGAGTTGCTAGCAACACCGCCAGAGCTTCCCTCTGGAGGCGGCTTTGGGGTTCCTCCCAAAGCCCAGGGGCTGCCGATGGGGCGAGCAGAGGACACTTGCCCCCACCACCAAGGGCTATGTTAGGGAGGCTGGAGCACTGTCCCTCCGACGGCTTGCAAGGAGCGGTGCGCACAGTCTGTCCCCGGCACCCAGTGCGGTCTACCAGCGACCCGTGGATTCCCCGAGGCGCAGCAGGGAGCGTCCCGGGCCCAGTGCGCGCGGGCGGAGCGGAGGTAGCGGGACCCGGGCCCAGTCCCTGGTCCTGGGCTGGGCACTGGCCCAGGAGGCTAGGAGGGCGATGCCACTCAAAAGGCGCAGTTAGGTGCGCCCACTCGCAGGTTCTCCTGGCAGACCACCCCCGATGCACCTAAGTGCGCGCCCACCTTGGTTCACATCTACTGCCACTCACACGAAAACTCCTACACAAATGGCACCTACTTCGCGCCCACACTCAGTATTACAAACACGCTTCCACACGCACAAACACACACCCACCACACACGTACACTCACCCTCAACAAATATGCCCGTGTACACGGCTATAGCAAGCACGCTCACACAGACAAGCAATCTTGTGCGCACACATATATACATCGCTATGCACCCCCGTGTGATCCTCAAAAACCAAACCGCGAAACATTCCCGTGCTCTTAAGTCCTCACGTTCACTTACACATACAAACACATGTCCTCCCCGCTACTGTCTCTTTCACTCTCCTTCCTCAAGCCACCCCCCCCATTCATGATTTGGTGCACCCTCAGTCCCAAATTATAATCAGCGCTCGCACAGCACGGGTTGGACACACACGCGCGCACGCACGCGCTTTCTCCCCTCCCAAGAGGGGAAGGTTTCGGCCCCGCTCTCGCTTCGGATTCCAGGTGTGACGGTGACTCCGCGCTCCGTGTTTTTCAGCCCGCCGCAGTGTCGGAGGCGAGGCGAGGAAGGGAGCTGGAATAACAAAGGCAAGTTGGGGAGAGCGCAAGGGGGCGCAGCCCTAGCGGGGCCGCGGGGGGAGCCCTACTCCGCCCGGGCTTTGGTGGCTGCTAGGGTCTCGGGCGCCAGGAGTCGGAGGTAGGGAGGGAGGGAGGACTGGGGTCGAGGGGCGGGGCCGCGGTGTGACGTCAAGAACAATGACACCGCTGGGGGCAGTCATCGGGAGGCAGCAGGGGCGGGGGTCTCCCCCGGGGCCTGAGACTAGCGGAAGACGCCCTGGCCGGGCCCCAGCCGCTGCCTGATTGACGAGGCCCGCTTGGGAGCGCGGGCGTGCCATGCAGAATCGCGGATCGCCCTGGCCTTCTGGGCAGTATTCAGCGTGGACCCTCGGCCAACGCCGGGAGCAGGCCGGAGGACCTCCCCTTTACCCCCATTTTAGAAAATCCTTCAGAGGGCTTCTTTGACCTCAGCTTGAACTCCTTCAGGACCAGGGAGATCACTCCTTCCACCACCGAGGGAGAGGAGGCGGAGTGAATTTGCCAGCCCTGAATTCATTCTCAAGGCTATGCTAGTCTGACAGCCAGAGAATTCAGCCTGGATTCCTGAGGGCTCAGAGGATTGCAGCTAGGTCCTCAGGGGCTTGAGAGGGATGCTGGGAGCCCGCTTGGTTTTTCCAGGGGAGATTCTGCCTCCCTATTACACTAGGTGGAAGAGAAGGCACTCTTTCAAGGCCTCAGTCTTTCAACCTGTCACATGGACTGTTACCATGCTGCTGGTCCCGCACAGGTGGCGGCTGAGCATCTCTGGGGAGGGTGGATGGTATGAAAGCATTTCCAGACCTCTAGGGACACCAGGGAGGCATAGTCCTAGCACATTCCTGTGTGAGGGAGCCCCTCCCCCTCAGCCTCTGGGTGGTCCAGGTTCATCAGTAGAGACATAGGTATAGCCTGAGAAACCCTGTAGGCAAGACACAGAGTTGGAAAGTGGAGATTCAGCTTGTTGCATGGTGGCTGGAGCTACAGCTGCCCACAGCATCTCCACACACACTCCAGCAGTTCATAACATTGCAGCAGCCAGAAATTCAAAATCCACCCCCATCCCCAATCCAAAACTTTGGGACAAAGTTTCTGGGTGTTTAAGAACCTGGAGGGCAAGAATCCATCATTACCCAAGAACCAGACCAGTTCCTATTGCCTTGATGACCACCTGAGTCAGGACACTCAGTCCTCTCAACATTTATGTACCAGACCCTCAGTGAGTGATAAGGGCTCACTATCTCCAGGAAGTGGGGGTTGCAGGTGACCTTGGGGCTGACCACTCATCCTCAAAAGCCCCTGTCCAGAAGACCTGCCCCCCACCCTGCAGCCCCCACCTTTTTGCCTTTACATCTGAAAACTAGGAAGCTACTGCAGAGGGCAGAGGAGCCAAGCCCTGCCCAGAAAGAATGCCCAACTCTCTGTAGCACGGAGCCAAGGGTAATTTCAGCTGTACTCAGTTGGGCAAGTGGAGCACTTGAGGCAGCAAATCTGAGAAATCTCACCTGCGCCCTGGGTTTGCCCAAACCTCTTGAGACCCTAGGCTTCAGTCCTTGGGACTTAGGCGCTTGCTATCTCTATTTATCTTTCAGGGAATTAACACGGTAGGTTGGATCTTTGTGGGGCTTGGAAGAAGCTATGAACTTACTTGGTACCTACTGTGTTCTGGGGACTGTGGTACGGCCTCTTAGCATTAGCTTATTGAATTCTCACATTGCCTTGAATTAGGAGCATTACTGTGAGTGAACTTGCCCAAAGTCAATCAGGATTCAAACTCAGGTTCTCATTAACAAAGTTTCCTGCTGGTCTCTCAGCCCCAGCTCTGCAGTCTTCATCTGCAGACTCTCTGTGTAGTCCTGAGCAAACTAGCCCTCTCTTGGTTTCTGTAAACCAAGGGCAGGGTCTCGTGACAATGGTCAGGCCTCTTTGGAGATGGTGTGTCCTGAACCCCCATCTTCTTGGCCTTGGTCTTTGCAGGCCTAGAGGTCTGGGGATGGAACAGAGAGGAAAGTGCTTTTACTTCCCATCCCCTGAGAGGGGGAAGGTGGATCCCACTCAGCCAGTGCTGGGCAATAAATCACCTGACTCCAGGGGCAGCTTCAGTGCCCATCAGGAGGGTGTGAGCAACAGGAGACTGGCCTGTGGGCACCAGTGTCAAATCTGGCCTATTCCTACCTTCAGAGCAGATATAAATGCTATTAATTTCCTTGTCCTCTGGGAACCATCTGTGGGAAGGAAGGCCATTGCTTACACCTTTACCAGAGGAGCATAGAGCCAAGAGCCAAGAAGTCCAGGGGTTCAGGAGGAAGACAGTGGTAGAAGGCTTTAGGTCCTGGGGCAAAGCAGAGGACCTGGGTGGGGTGCAGTGAATATGGCCTCCTCGGCCAGGGGGCCCTTGGTGGGCTGTTTCAGGGGACTGGCATATATGGGAGTGAATTCCTACCTTCCTTGTCTCCATTCCCCACCCCTCACTCCCCCAACGGGTAATAGGGGATAAAGGGGTGGGAGGAAAGTTAACTTACTGAGTGCTTACTGTACATCAAGCACTTTGGAAATATCTTCTTGTTCCATCCTCTCCACAAGCCAGAAGGTAAAATTCTCCCTGGAGGAAAGAGGCTCAGAGAGGTTAAATGACCTCCTCAAGATCTCAGCTATTTGGTGGGTGGGACTGGGATTGGCTCCAGGCTTAAGGTTAAGAATGGGGACTTGCCTTCATGTCATCAGGCTTCAGTGCAAGCAGGGTGACCTTCTGAGTACTTTGGGGTGGAGTACTCTTGCTCACCTGCCAGGTAATGTTCAGGGGCCTCTCCCACCGTAGTAGGGGTAACAGGGGATACATTTAGTCTTCACACCTGGATGGATCCAGGAGGCACTGGGTCCCTGCCCAGCTCCAAGGCCTTTGCCTCTAGGAGTCGGTGGCAGGTCCAGCAGAGAGTAGGTATGTGTCCTCTTCAGCCCACTGGGCTCCCCTGGTTGGCTTCCTCCCTATTTTCTAATCAGATTGCCCCCTCCATTCTCAGGCCACACCTTCCCTGCCTCCTGGCCTTGGCTCTCCCAGGTCCTTCCACCAGGCATGCTGTCTTCTAGTTTCTGTCATGTAGCTTTGTCCCAAGGTTCCAGGCCCAGCTCAGCGAGCAACCCCCTTTGTCTGATGGGAGGCCCAGGAGAGCTGACTGAGAGCTTGCCTCGGAAGTTGGAATATCTTCACACCCAGCCCACCACTGCTGGACTTGCTGTGGGGCTTGGGCACATCACAGATGCTCTCTGTGCCTGTTTCCTCATCTGC